TGATTTCATACCGTGGGAGACTAGGTACAAGGGAATTGTACCCAATCAACCATTGCCTGATTTCATACCGTGGGAGACTAGGTACAAGGGAATTGTACCCAGTCTCCCACGGTATAAAATCGTTTTTAAACTAAACTAATAAGCAAGCCATATAGTTGACCTTCAACTATGCCTAGAATAATAAACAGTGAAAGTCATATGTAAATAGACATTAATGACGATAGCTACCGTGATGCTTTKCGYACTACGTCATGCAAATTAGCTAAGCGGGCTTCCATAGGCAGATAAAAATTTTTGCTTTGAATTGTGGTCTAAATTCGGTAGAAACATCTTTTGCTCATCCTGCCAAATATGGCGATGTTTATGCCGAAGCTAGACCACAATTCACCATGATTTTACATTTCAGWAAAGGTCTATGGGGCTAACACTATAAAAAAATGCAAATTTTGAGCAATGGACAAGCTCTATATCCACGGAGGATCCAGCTGAAATTTTAAGGGGGGAGCTAATGGTTTTTAGGGGGAACTAGATGGCTTTAAGGGGGAGGGAATGAATGGTCTTTAATTGTTATAAAAAACATTGAAAATAATAAAAAAGCAATTATATTTTTTCTGCTCAGAGAGGGGTCTACAGCACCCCTTCGCCTCAAACGGACTGAATACGCCCTTATACAATGTATATGCCATTCAATCTTGCAGAAAAAAAGAAAAAAAATTATATGTCTGTAAACTTGGCAGTCCTGGATAGACGTTTTTAAATTTCTAGCATTAAATACAAAAATAAAAGATAATTTTCAGATGAACTTCCTACACTAGTTAAAATAAAAAAAAATGTATTCATTTGACAAGTATTCGCGTGTACAATTAAAGAAAACTATAACATTTTATGAGAAACCTGTTGAAATATCCAAATTTGATAATGGCCGCTTAGGCCGAAAGCTCGGTATTAAAAATATCGCTAGTAAACGCAGAGGACTCATTTATTTTTAGAAATTTGATTTTGTTTGCCCCTGGAGGACCCCGTATCTAATTTGCATTACAATATAAAAACCATTATGGCGTCTATGTAAATAAGACGTATTACTTTAATAGTCAACTTTAGATATTTTAGTTCGATAACTATGTACAAAAGAACGCACACGAGGCTCCGGGAAAACAATGGATAATCTTGATTTATTCTTTTATTTCCCCGGAGCCTCGTCTACAATTCTTTTGTGCAAAATATCTAAAGTCGGCTATTAAACAATGTGAATCAGAAATACTGCTGTAAGCAACAGGAAAACGGTGACGCCGAGTTTGGCACTCGAAGATTCCGCGCCAGGTTCCGTGGTTTTAGCACCTCCAGGTTTTGTACCAGGTGCAGTGGGACCAACACTACAGTCTTGGGGCTTTGGCAGTGGTTCTTTAATAGACGGAATTGGAATWTTCCCATTGTTTTTCTGTGTACAAAAGGTTGAAGCAATATGGCTTTTATCTTGATGAAATACAGTTAACTCGAGGATCACAAATATTCCTACTTCCTCGCTTCCTCGAGGYGTGTTAAGTTGTAACAAAGTTAAAAAAATTTTGAACAACATTAATCGCAGAAAAGTGAGCGAATGATTCGCTTTATTGTACAAAAAAATGAAAAGAGATGCAGCATAACAAATCAGTGATAAGAGAAAGAAAACACTAAAGACATGAAAATGTTATAGTGATCACACTTTAACGGCGGACGTTACAGGGTTAATAGAGAGAAATCATTAAAACCTTGAAATTAATATTACACTTCTACACCTTAGAAGGCTCTAATACTCCATTTTACAGTTCCAGGCGCCATCTTGAAAGGTCGCCAAGCCTTTGCATGAAAGCGAGACAGGAGTTGAGCCTGCAGTGATAGATACCTTTTGCTCACACCTAAGACAATTATTCACTGGTATCTATCATTGCAAGCTCAACTACTGCCTCGCTTTGATGCAAACGCTCGGCTACCTTTCAAGATGGCGCCTGGAACTGTAAAATGGAGTACTGCATTGCTTTCTTTTGTGTTTATTTGACTCACACAATTAAATACTTAGAACGGATTTCGTATGAGTGGGACACCGTTACCGCACGGTTACCGCACAGTTACCGGACCTGGCCTGCACAATTTTGGTGAACCAATGGGGCACTAGAATTCGGTTACAGTACGATTAATAAAAAAATCATGAAATAGTTCGTTTAATTGCATTGTTTTCTGTCCTTACCAGTTTAATCCCAATTCCTTTGGTCCTTATACAGGCTACCCAAATAGAGGTTTGATTCTCGTAGTCTTCCTTAAGGTCCTTATTCCATTCTTTTTTCCATTCCATTTTCTTCCATTCTTTCACAGTTGTGTTCGTCCTGTGGTGAAAGGAATATGAGATCAGGAAGTAAGAATAGTCAACTTTAAATATTTTGGTTCGATGACTATTTACGCACACAAGACTCCGGGAAAACAATGGATAGTCTTGATTTATTTTTTTATTTCCCCGGAGCCTCGTCTGCAATTCTTTTGAGCATGGTCACTGAACCAAAATATCTGAAGTCGGCTATGACAACGTTTGCTCACATTCCTCACGGGACAATCACGACCTGAATTAAGTATGTCATGGACAATGAGGTTGTGATTCGCTTGAATCTTGTGTTGCCTATCCTTTGTAAGTGATATTTAAGGGAGGATTATACGTTATAACTGCCCCATTATACAAGATCCTTCATGGATCCGGTTCGAAACCAGTTCGTTTTGAAAAACAAATACGTCCGATTCGTACATTAATAATATACATGAAAACATTACTCAATTCTGATTGGCTGATAACATCTCAATTAATTCTTAATTCAGTGCAATTACATTCCTGCAGTGCAATTACAACAGACTGAGCAGTACAAAAAGCTGTATAATATCAGTGCAATTTTCTCCAGAATCTAAGACGGCGGACACTTCCACCGATAATAGAGAAAAAAGTACTCAAACACTTTCAACAAGTGCTTAAGAGAAATAACAAAAGCTTTCTCTCTGAAGAATAGTCTCCTTCACGGTTACGTTCGCCATCTTGAAAGGTAGCCGTGCCTTTGCATCGAAGCGAGACAACCGTTGAGCGTGCAATGATAGACACCTGTGAATAATTGTCTGTAGGTGTGAAAGAAGGTTTCTATCATTGCACGCTCAACGGTTGTCTCGCTTCGATGCAAAGGCACGGCTACCTTTCAAGATGGCGCAGGTAACCGTGAAGAAGACTATTGGAATAGGATTTTGTATTTGTGAAGTTTCAAGCTTGCTATTTGCCATTTCAAGACGATTTTGCATCGAAAATAGTCTCGCCTTCCGCACCCGTCCAGCTCGATGAAGTTCAGTACAGTTTCAAAGTGAAATCAGCTCAAATACTGTATTTTTTTCCACATTAGCCAGCAACAGTTATTTTTCTGTTTAATTGCCATTTTTTTTATTGTTCAAATTCCAATGAATTGCTTTAAAGTGGAGTAAATCAGGTTTTTTTTATCAGTAAAAATGACAAAAGTATAAGGTTTGAAACTGAACTTTGTTCTGCTTCAATTTTTTGATTTCTTTTGTACGAAAGAAGTTTTATTATATGTTATAAACTACGTTTTTTCCTAGCTTTGATAGTAAGACAACTGTAAAATTGTTTGTCAAGAAGAAAATAAAAATAATTGATGATATTTTGCTTACATCTTGTTTTTATCGTTGWCTTCTTGTCTAGCCTTGTAAGTTTCAATTTTTTCATGTGCATTATTAATAAGTAATAAGATGTTTCTCATTCAATTTGGATTAATTTGCACTCGTTTGTTTTTTCAAGGAGCCAATTATGGCCTATCTTTGAAAAACAAACTCGAGCAAATTAATTCCAAATTGAACTCGAAACCATCTTATTCAAAAAAAAAAACATCGCAAAGATTCCTGGATGCAAGTGGACCATAATCCCCATTAGACTGTTGTTGGCATGTTTGKAAAATGAGCGATTAGAAAAATCATAGTCATTTTCTTACCTTTTTTCGTAATCACTCTTGAACTGGCGACTTCCTCTGTAGTTGCTCGATACGCACGTCGTGAAATCATTTCTTGGGTAATAATACATGTAGCTCAAGCACATCTCTTCTTTTGTGGATAGTCCTCCCTACAGAAGGGGAAGGTGATAAGCGACTTTAAAAGTTAA